TACCCACAATGGATGCTCATTCTGTACTCTTGTTTATGGTGAACTTGTTATGCAGTCCAAACAGTGAACACAATCACTAGTATGCAAAAGTTCACTTTAAAGGTCCCCTGAAATGCTTAGAAACACGCAGCGTTACTCTGTGTTGACGTCATTTTAACTGAAACAGGAAGACAGGGCGGGACATATCAAGCAGCCCCGCCCCTTTTTAAAATAGCCAATTGCGTTCGTTTATATCACAGCTTGGGCTAGAGCTGTTCAGAGTCGTTGAGCTCTGTAAAGCCGCATTTGACAGGGTAAGCCAGCCACAATCTCATCCATATTGCTAAAATATAGCATTCTGTGTAGATTTCAAATAGCTCCGATAAATTTTGTGGCCTACGCCGACTCGCGCATGTGATCCGCTCTGTGCTATCGTGTCTCTGGACCGGAGCAGAGTGTGTGTGCGGTGCAGTGGTTAGTGTGACACAGCGCGAAACCAGACTTCTTTTTTTCCTCAATGGAAAGCATATTTACACTGTTTGAATCGTTCCCTGTCCCCTATATAGTGCACTACGTGCCATTCACTGTACAGAACATACTAACTCTGTGGACAAGTGACCGAGTTCAGCCACGGCTTCAGCGTCGTGTAGGGGGCGGGGCTTCGGATTCTAGAGAGCATTTGATTGGACAGAAAGTTTGATGAGAAGCTGAAGTACGATGTGACGTCAAAAAAATCGTTCCACCGTTTTGGCGGAAGTGACGAACTGCAAGCTTTGAATGCTTATATCTTCTAAATGCAAATTGTGTCACTGTTTTGGAGCACACTGCCTTATAGATAACCTTAAGACTAACATATTGATACTAACACCCAAAAAACTTTAATTTTTATTTCATGGAGACTTTAACATTTTGAGGAAAAAGTCATAGCAGTCGGCAAGAATGCATTTAATTGATCAAAAGTTACAGTAATGTATCAGTTTCCAAAAACTGTTTTCAACATTGATAATCAGAAATGTTTCTTGAGCAGCAAATCAGCATATCAGAATGATTTCTGAAGGATCATGTGACACTGAAGACTGGAGTAATGATGCTGAAAATTCAGCTTTGATCACAGGAATAAATTATATTTTAAAATATATTAAAACAGAAAAATGTTATTTGAAATTCAAATAATATTTCACAATATTACTGTATATTTAATGAACTAAATCCAGCCTTTGTGAGCAAAAGAGACTTCTTTCAAAAACAAAATTAAAAACTCCTATACAGACCCCAAGTGTTAGTGTACATGGTAATATAATTATCAGCTGTTCAATAGTGCTGTAACTCTGAGCAAAGACACAAAGGCAAATACATACAGTATGTATACACTAATCTTTAATGCCATGCCATTCAACACTGGAACAATGTACAATGTGCAAAAAAGGTCCAGGAAAATATTTTTTATTGGAACGGGAGGTTCACAGGATAGAAAGATGTTTACCAGATAATTTTTAAGACATATTGGAGAATAAACAATACATCTTAAGCCTCGGACTCAAACATCTTCTTCCTGCCGTCCATACCAGCCTTATCCTCGATGTTCTTACGCCAGTCGCCGACTTGTTCTGCAGACTGTGGAAACGCAAAAACATCAGACGTGAGGCACAGGAGGATCCAGACCAAACACATCCCACTTGAAGACTTTCCTATGAACTTGGTAACACGGCCAAGCAAAGACAAGAAGCATTTCTGAATCTGCAACCCACCTCCTCTTTGACCTCCTTCTTGACTTGTTTGAGGTTGGCTCTGAGGTCCATGGAGACCTTGTGCTTGGATCCCAGCAGAGCTTGAAGCATAGCGTCAGCAGACATGCGCACCTTCTTCAGCGCAGGCTTCTTGAACTTGCCCTGCAGGTCGACCACCTTGATCTTCAGATCCTCGATCTATACACACATTAAACAGGAGTCAAACTGGAGCTCGGAGAACCAAATAGTTTCTTTGTAGAAACAAATAAATGGATGAATCACTGAACAAACTGAAGTTGCACGATTTTTACCTCCTTGTTTGACTTGGCAACCTTTGACTCCAAGTCATATCTCTCCTCATCAACCTGGTCGATCTGTTGGTTCAGTTTCTTGCACAGCTCCTGGAAGGCCAAAACAGCATTATACATATGATATATGATACTGATGATCAGATATCCATCCATCCATCTACAGTATATTACATAAGTATAAAAATGTGTAATTATATTCAGGGTTATTAAATTTAACTAATACTAAAACTAAAATTAAATCCATAAAAAAACATTTTCATTACTTGAAATGAAGTAAACGTTAACGTATTTTGTTTTGTTTCAGCTATTTCAACATTTGTTATTTTTAGTTTAACTTCACGTAATAAATGACCTAAAACTGAAATATTAAGAAAAACTACAAATGACAAAAACACAACACATGTACTAAAAAGTTCACAAACTTAAAATGAGAGATTCAAAATATTAATAAAAAAACTATAATAGTATCTCAATGATACTAAAATAAAGTATATTAATATGTTGTCGTTAAAATAATTATAATACTTATGATTTTCCTGTAGCTCACAGAGTAAAGCAATATTAAACTTTTATATAACTATATAATTATAAGAAAGATGGATAGATAGAAAGATAGATACTTATTATGTAATTATATCTATTAAATGTATATTAATATGTGGTAATTTAACTAGATATGATTGTATGTATGCTTGTGTGTGTGTGTGTGTGTGTGTGTGTGTGTGTGTTATTGTTAATAATAATAATGCATTGGCACCTGCAGCTCTTGCGTGGATCCAGGCAGATCGAGAACAGGGCAGTGTTCATTCATATGAGCCTCCTTATTAGCAACAAGCTGCTTGGCTTCAACGTCCATTAGACCGAAGGCAATAGAGAGCACCAGGCTCTGACGACACCAACAGACAAACAATAATCTCAATAAACAATATAAGCTTATGGTTTTTTTAAAACGTAACCATTTTAGCCAGATTTTACACTTCAAATCTGCGCTTTATGAAATTACAGTAAAAACATGTTTTACCTTCAGATGGTGCCTACGGCTGGAGGTCATCTTTTTTCTGTTCATGAAAACAAGTTCGCCATGAGACACACTGTGCTTGAGCTGGATTACTCAATAAAGAACAAATCACAATCCAACCAGAATCAGAATACTTACTCTGACATCTCGGCGGTTTAGTGCGTTCTCACCCTGGATTGGATAGAAATCAATTATTAGATGGCAGCTGAGTTAATCAACTAATCCAGGACAAGCACTTTAAGAAATACATTCAGTCAGGGACAGCTGAGTCTAAATTTAGTCCAACAGTCTTGAGACGTCCTCATGGACAGATCATCTGACACATTAAACACGATACCAGAGATCAGCTGCTGTATTCAATTCAAATTCAATGAAAGATTATAGCATATTAGAGTTACACTATTACATCAAAGATAAGTATTATTGCATATTTATGGTTTTTTTAAAACGTAACCATTTTAGCCAGATTTTACACTTCAAATCTGCGCTTTATGAAATTACAGTAAAAACATGTTTTACCTTCAGATGGTGCCTACGGCTGGAGGTCATCTTTTTTCTGTTCATGAAAACAAGTTCGCCATGAGACACACTGTGCTTGAGCTGGATTACTCAATAAAGAACAAATCACAATCCAACCAGAATCAGAATACTTACTCTGACATCTCGGCGGTTTAGTGCGTTCTCACCCTGGATTGGATAGAAATCAATTATTAGATGGCAGCTGAGTTAATCAACTAATCCAGGACAAGCACTTTAAGAAATACATTCAGTCAGGGACAGCTGAGTCTAAGTTTAGTCCAACAGTCTTGAGACGTCCTCATGGACAGATCATCTGACACATTAAACACGATACCAGAGATCAGCTGCTGTATTCAATTCAAATTCAATGAAAGATTATAGCATATTAGAGTTACACTATTACATCAAAGATAAGTATTATTGCATATTTATGTCACATTGTACGCTGGTTGCAAGCATCACTTAGCAGATTTTATTAATAAAAACAACTGTCCAGATCATGTGATTTATACACAATAGTCGGTCATATCAATTAGTGCAGATTAAAATATATTTAAAATCACATTAAATTGAATATTCATATTCAAGAAATAAAATATTACTTCTTTTCAATATATACACACACATTAAAAATCCATAGTAATTCTTTACAAATTTTTCATTTTATACAGAAATTGAAAACATAGCAATTCAATTGTATACTTTATCTGCCAATTCATAGCGCCGTTTAAAATCACACTTATTAACATTCTAACTGCTCATGAATATTAAAAAAAAACAATGTGTCTAGACACATATTGGATGCAGTTGATATGTAGCAACTGTTTGTCCTTTACATACAGATCTAGAGAGAGTTGTGGATTGACGCTCACCTATGAGAGAAGAAGAGGGCAGTACACACTTGGAAGAAGAACTGGAAAGACTGGTGAGCCCCAGAGAGAAAAAAATTAAATAGGATATATATGTTGTGGTCTGATGGCTCAGCAGATCCTGGGAGTCCTGTTTATGGAAGTGGATTCCTCCTCAGACCAATAGGCCGCTGAGCTCCTGAAATATCCCCAGTCCATCCTTGGAAAGCCTCGTAAATTTCCCTTCCTTCAAGACGCATGTGTGTGTGTGTGCGTGCGTGCTGTAAACGGAAGCAATGCTTAACACACCAAGATACAAAAAACATAAACCACTTAAAGCAGAGTGCTATAAACCAAAATAATAAGAGATATTTCAGCAAAACAATGTTAATTGTAGTTTAAATAACTTGCCATACAGCAAAAGAGGACATGCCCATAAATATGATCTGAAATGCCATCTATATTTCTTCTGGATGTGGTGTACCAACAAAAAAAATAAAATGATTAAATTAAATTTAATAATTAAAAATCTAATTAAATTAAAGGAATAAAGATGGTGCAATGAAGTTGAGAAAGACAGACGATACGACTGCTGTAATAGTAGCACTACAGTATTTATTCATTAAAGTCATAACAGACCACTAGTCGCGGACTGGAAAAGAATGAAAGGACCAAATGTGCGTAATAAAACAAACGTGAAAAAGGATTTTCCTCAGAAGCATTCGTTTAATGGTAGTGGCTCTGCGATGATGATACACAATTCCCTTTCAGGACGTACATACTGCGTGAAACAAATGCTCATCTGAGGCGCTGAAAGCAGAAAAGACTATGGCAAAAAGATAAATGACCGCGCAGCTCTGACAAATTCCTATGATAATTAAACAAAGAAACGTCCGGGAATTTAGGCCTCGCCCTCGAACATCTTCTTCCTGCCGTCCATACCGGCCTTGTCTTCAACGTTCTTACGCCAGTCGCCGACATCTGCAGTCTGGATTATGAGAGAGGGATAAAGTGTGAAGGAATGCTACTCGTATAAAACATATATACATGTTTATATATACACACACAGCATATTATTTTCTATCAGGGTTTATGCAGATTTCATGAAGGTAAATTTAAGAGATTGTAAGACTAAGCAAAGCAAATTTAAGGAATCAATTAAACGGAACCGAGTACATCAATATGGTCTCTAAATAAAAATACAACTTTCTACAGATCTACATTACTTTAATTCCAATTACACACACACAAACAAAATAAAAAAATAGCTTATGTCTTGAATAGCTCTGTTTCTAAACACTACAATCTGGAGATAACTTTACTGAACCTTCTCATCAGTCAGTAAAAAATGATTCTTCCGCAGTACTTTTGCAAATGTATAAAGATTCTTAAATCGAGATGCATTTACTAGAGAAGCATGATCACAGTAGATAATTAGTCTTGTTTTGTGAGAAACTGAATTAACAAATTAATTCAAAGGCAAAACGAGTTCTCGTTCCTCATTTCAGACGCTTGTTCTTGCTCTAAGCATAAATTCAATTTTGTTCAATTTCTGACTTATGCTCGTGTATCTTGATTAAAGGATGTTCAGACATTTTTATTTGAAAAGAAAAGAAAAATATTGAGGAAGACTTTGTTTTTTTTTTTCAATTTTTGTGGAAGGATTAATTAATTCTTACTGTATGAAGAAATTGTATATTATTAATTCAGTAACTAACTAAGCATTTTATTCAATCATTCAATCTGTTCAATTTCTGACTTATGCTCGTGTATCTTGATTAAAGGATGTTCAGACATTTTTATTTGAAAAGAAAAGAAAAATATTGAGGAAGACTTTATTTTTTTTCAATTTTTGTGGAAGGATTAATTAATTCTTACTGTATGAAGAAATTGTATATTATTAATTCAGTAACTAACTAAGCATTTTATTCAATCATTCAATAATTTCCATTAATTTGTATTAAATTAAATACGGATGATAATATTATGTATTTAAGCACACATTATATTCAGTAATATTATCAATTTAACTGCACTGACACCTTAGATTTTTTTCTTATCCAATAATGACAATACATGGACACTGTTATTGAAATAAACTGATCTGAATAATGACACTATTATTTTCTGTTGAGCTGCTTTGCAGCTGAAATGTGTTTTTTTCTCACAAGTGATGAATCTTTCACTGTTTATTCCTGTAAAAAAGCTGCAAAGCATCACTCGCACAAAAACACATTATAAACCACTAATTAGCAATATCTTTAAAATATATTTATTGAAGGAGTAAACCATGAGATGGTTTTCATTTTGTACGTTTTGTATCCATTCAGACTTCACGGCCATAACTATTAATATCTGTTCTCTGCATAGGAATAATCTCACTATCATATTTCACCCACCTCCTCTTTGACCTCCTTCTTGACTTGTTTGAGGTTGGACCTCAGATCCAGAGACACCTTGTGCTTGGAGCCCAGCAGAGCTTGAAGCATCTGATCGGCAGACAGACGCACTTTCTTCAGCGCAGGTTTCTTGAACTTACCCTGCAGGTCGACCACCTTGATCTTCAGATCCTCGATCTATACACACATTAAACAGGAGTCAGACTGGAGCTCAGAGAACCCAGTATATAGACTCGTCAGAAACATTGTCACCATCATAAGGTATATTTGAGTATCAGAAGTTACCTCTTTGCTGGCCTTGCCCACTTTGGACTCCAAGTCATATCTCTCCTCATCAGCATTGTCGATTTGCTGGTGAAGCTTCTTGCACAGCTCCTAAATAGAGAGGTTTAAATATTCAGATTCTGTTTTCGAACCATCTTTTGCAACGTATTGTTTCAAGAAAGTGCAATACAACTTCGATCAGCCCTAGGTGTACATATGTCACCGAAACTTCTGCAAAACATCTGGAATGCACTAATAAACAGCTCAAATCTGTTCATTACATACATACATATTTCAATTGACATTCATTTCATTTAAGGTAAACAAAAATGTTTTTATGGCTAAGTTTTAGTTTAACTACAAAAACCATGGAGTTATTGTTGCTGTTGGTGATATATATATATATATATATATTAGTACTGTCAAACGATTAATCGCATCCAAAATAAAAGTTTTTGTTTACATAATACATGTATGTGTACTGTGTATATTTATTATGTTTATATAAATACACACACATGCATGTATATATTTAAGAAAAATATGTTATGTTTATATATTTAATAAATGTATATATAATATAAATATATAAATGTCTATACACATGTAAATATTTTCTAAATATATACTGTATGTGTGTGTTTTTATATATACATAATACATGTATGTGTACTGTGTATATTTATTATGTAAACAAACTTTTGTTTTGGATGCGATTAATCATTTGACAGCACTAATATATATAT